GTTTCGGGAGCAGGACACACGCCCGCGCTTGCAGGCTGCAAGCAGGGAGGCGAGGTAGGGCAGAGGCCTGCCCACCACTCCAACAGCCCAGGCTGGGCCTCACCCTGCTGCTTTCTAGCTCTCTGGAGGCACCTGGTCGACATCCAGGGTGCTCTGGGTCCTCAGAGTCAGGCAGGTAAGGCCGCCCCTGCCCACCAGGTAAAGCAGTGCCAGTGCCCCTCGGTGCCTACAGAGGGCCTGCCTCCCACACTCATCTTGACCCGCGGCCTACTGCCAGACCTGGTCGATTCAGAACGGGACCTGGTGTTCTACGACCCAGCCCCACTGCTGGGGGTTAGACCCTATTTCAGGGCCAGTGATTTAACATCTTTGTGCCTTGAGCACCAACAATGCCAACAGGAGAGGAAGGCGATGGAGTCGTATGAGGCAGAGGGGTCCACAAACTTCTGAGCAAAGTGAACCAGCCAAAGGCCCTGGCACCTCTGTCAAGAGGGCAGCTGGGTAAGACACCAGAGGCCATAGTTGGGCAGTGCTGTGGCCTCTGCTAGCCCAGGGGTACTAGAGGGTATGGGGCTACAGGGGGAGGCTGAGCTGGGCCTGGAGTCCCAGGTTGGGGACTGGAACTGGACATGAGGACCTCCCAACACCTTTCCAAATCAGTGCCACTCCAAAAGGGCAGTTTCTCAACTTTATTAGCCTGGAGCTCCTCCCTGCCAGCCCCAGGGGCTGGTCCCTGGGCACAGTGAGCAGGGCTGAGGTCAGACAGGTTTGACCCCCGGCAGCTTGGGAGAGCTGGGCCAGGGGAGCCACAGGTACGAAAGTCCAAATGCTGGCACTTCAGGTGTAGCCGGCGCCCAGCCAGGCCACAGTGGGTGGATGGGCACCATGGTCCTCTTCTGGTGAAGGGTCCGCTGCGGCAGGCTTATTCCTAGGCAGCTGCTAGGAACAGCTGGTGATTCTAGCCAGGAACTGCTGCGCCCACCACTCATCCAGGTCAATGGGCACAAAATCTGTGGGCAGAGCAAGCTGGGCAGTGATGCTGCCTACCAGACTGGTCAGCGTCTCTCCCTCGAGCTGACCACAAGCCCCTCACCCGCACTCCAAGTGTAGCAGGCACTGGGAAAAAGGGGTTCCGGTGGCAGAGTTCCCTCTCTAGTCCCTTGGGCCTGAAACCTGGTGGAGCTCAGGTCAGGATTAGAGGGGCTGGAAGGAGTCCTCGGGGGACAAGCATGTTGGGGAGGACTCCTTGGGGGCAGAGGGGCTAAGAGGAGATTCCCTGGTGGTCAGGATTGGAGGCTCACTCTGCAGCCGGGGATTGGGGGTCTTCTCCACATACTGCACAGGCCTTGGCCCGCCCTCACCGGCTGAGCCACCGTCCAGCTGCTGCGCCACCTGCTGCCAGGCTGTAGGGGGAGGGCAGTAAGACTAAGCAAGATCCCTGGCACCCCATCTCCCTCCCAGGTCCTGGCAGTCACCCTGGACCCCAGCCCCACCCAGGAGTGGGCCACTTGCTCAGTGGTCACAGGACACTTGGGCCGAGAGCCAAGGAAAGCCCAGTCCTCTGGCTGCTGGGAGTCAGGCTGCAGTCCATGTCACTGGAACCTAATGCTCAAGGCACAGGCTCAGGCCCCCCTCATACCTTCGGACACAAAGCGGACGTTCTCCTCGTGGGCCAGTGTGTAGATCTCCTGGGTCCCTTCGGGAGATGGGGATGTGGCGGTGGGCCGCCGGCCGTTCACACGATTGAACACAAGTCTCGGCCCCGGACTGTGGGAGAGGGAGGAGACAGACATGGTCGGCACCCATCCCAGGCCCAGGGGCTGCCTGGCAGACCTCAGGAGCAGCCCCTGCCACAGCTGGTGGCCCAGGCCTCTCCCCTGCAGGCACCAACCCGCCAGCCACTCAGCCTATACCTACAGCCCTCCGGCCTGAGGGAGGTGATTGTGGGTGGCTGTAGGGTGGGGGGGCCAGCTTTGTGTCCCAGACCCCAGCAGGGCCCCACTCAGTGCCCCTCCGAGGGTCTGGGTCTCGCGGGTACCCATGTTTCTACCTGCATCCCACTGCCCAGACCAGCCAGGCCTCCAGCAGCCCAGGCTTTGACTTGAGCTGTGATCAGGTCTCTCTGTCCCAACCCCGCCCACGTGATGACGTTCATGGCCACATTCTTGACCCACAGAAGCTTCTCCACCTCAATGACGCTCCCTTCTGTGGAAGAACGGGCCTGAACGAACAGGGCAGCCTCTGCCCTTCCCTCTCCCCAGTGGCCCCAGTGGTCCCAGGATGCACTGGGAGCACCAGGCTGGTCAATCGCTGAGCAGGGAGAGAGTAACTGCGACCCCAGCCCACTCCCCGTGGGCCCCAGACCAGGGGCAACTGAATGAGATGGCCTCCGTGGGTACACACGCCATTCCAGGGTCCCAACCTGGGAGGTCACTCAGCCTGTCCTGGCCAGGCAGGCCCAAGGCAGGGATGGGTGGCCTGGCTGGTAGCAGCTAGTCCAGCCCTGCACACGGAGGCCCGGGGCGGGGCCGTGGAGGGAATGGGGCCCGCACCTACAGCAGGAGGTGGGCGCCGGGAGTCCTGGGCTGCGCCTGCCACTCCGCTGGGCACGCGCGGTCCCGGCCGGCCTGCTCGCTTCCTGGCTCAGGTGCCCCCGCGCCGCTCTGGGTTCCTCCTCAGGTGAGAGGGGCACTAAAACAGAGAGGAGCGTCTTGAGGGGCACAGGGCCCTGCCAGCCCCGGGGCCGGCAGGGCCTGGTGGCCACAGAGAGTCTGCACGTGCAGGTGCACACAGGAGGGGCGGCCCCTCCAGGCCTGCCTGCTGCCTGAGTTTGCACAAACCAGAGGGAATAAAGTGTGTCCACTTGGAAAACCCCCTTGCCTGCAACCCGCTCCCACCCAGAGAGACTGAAAACTCTGGGGATGATCAGAGGCTAGATACCAATTTCCAAAAAGGAAGACTGCAGTCAGGGCAGTGGGGGGCTTGGCGCAGAAACTGGCCAGCAAGCAGCCTGAGAGGTTATGGTTTATGGTTGTGTAAGGCTGCTGCTCTCTGCGGAAAAGGGCACCGGTCCCAGCAAGCACCTATGGATGACGGCCAACCTCTTGTCTGTGGAGAAGCTGCCACAGGCCCACGCAGCCCACACAGTCTCCCCTTCCATCCCCTCCATGACCCACCCATCTTTCAGCCCAAGGCCCTGGGCTGGCGTGGGAAGCAACCCACCATGTCAAGTACGGTTGAGTGGGGACAGCATCAGGATGCCACAGTCATCTGGACAACAAAGTCCCTACCCATGACCCAGGCCAGCCACAGACCTAGGCTCCACAGACTGCCCTTCCCCACCTGTGCGGCTCAGCCACCATCCCTTCTGTAGTGGTCCCTGCACGCTCCCAAAGACCCTGCTGTCAGGGATCACTTGGCCCCACTTTAGCTACTGCCTGTCGGTATCGCCTTAGTTTATCTTACTGCCTTGCCTATCTCTCATCAGGAGGGAGAATTGCCAAAGGTGCATGGTCTAGTCATTGTCACCGGCAGTGGCCAGACTGGTGCCTGCCCAGAACCAGAGCCTGTGTGTTTATGGGGTCAGAAGCTGGGTCCCAGGGTGAGCGGTAGCCCTGATGCCCCAACTCCTGGAGCCTTGGAGGCGAAAGGTGCTGAGGAGAAAGCAAAGGAGGCGGTAGGAAGCTCGGGATGGGGCAGCTTAGAGGGCAACCCCTGAGAAGGTGCAGGGGCAGAGCAGGGCCTTCCTGTCGAGGCCTCACAGCTGACAGAGGTTCCCAGCCCTGGGCTTGGAGGGGATGTCAAGAAGGGGGAGTGGACAGCAACTGGGGAGCAGGGCCGGCAAGCCCTAGTGGCACATACCCTGCCTGGGCCCAGCCGCTGAGCCCTGCAGGCCCCCGTGTGTCCCACCTGGCAGGCTGACAGAGCACCTCAGATGTCCTCTGGGGCTTTAAGGGCTCTGGGGACAACATCTAGTGGGGCTGAGGCTGTCCGCTGAGACCCCTGCTGGCTTAGTGCAACCTTCTTCTCTGACACCTCCCTTACTTGTTCCGGTGTTCCCCAGCAGTGGGGCCTTGGAGAGGGAAGGGGGCGACTCTTGGCCACCCCAGCCCTGTGCTCCCTGCCATGCCTGTTTTCTCCCCTGGGAGGCAGGGCAGCCGTGAGGTCCCAGGCTGATGTCCATGAAGGTTGCTGTACAGCCCAGAATCAGGCCCCCCCCCCCGGAGGCTGCTCCTCCCTCTCCAGCAGGTACCTGGGCCTGGCCATTTCTCCGTGAGGATGGAGGCCCAGAGTGTCAACATTCCCACCAGCAGGAAGCCCTCCACGCACCCACACCCATACGGGCGGGAAGGGCAGAGGCAGGCTGAGCCGCACACCCCACCTGTGACTGCACGAACACCCAGCTCCCGCCTCTCCTCAGGTCCCCCCACCCAGGCCTCCCAGCACTGCCTCAGGGGGCCCCAGCCCAGGAGCCCTATGGCCTGTGTGGGACTAGAGCAAGTTTACAGGTCCTGGAAATGCGTCCTGTTCACGAAAATAACCGCGGAGACCTGAGCCAAAAAAGTGAGAGGTTCAGCCCCAGGGGTGTCTGACCTCTAGGTCATGGCCACGTGCAAGTCAAAGTGGCCAGGACTGAGCCTCCTGTAGTCTTAGGAGGGCCCTGGGCGGACGGTCAAGGAAAGGTAGGAGGCTGGAGGCTCCCGAGTATCGGCGGGAAAGGAGGGCCCCGCGCCCCAGCATGCCCGGGTTAAGGAAGGGCAGAGGGCGCCAGGCTAGCAGGGCGGGAAGCACGCGCCCCTCCCCGCCAGCTCCGCAAAGACGGACGGGGGACCTTGGGGGCCAGCGTCCTGGGCAGCGTTCCTAGGGCCTTGGCTCGAGCCGGCCCTACAGGGCTCGAGCCGCAGCCCAAGGT